ACTCTTGGTACTTATTTGTTTGAGAAGGTAAAGTCTCCCTGGAGGTAAGTAGTTTTCTTGGCAACAATATAGAAGTGGTTGCCATAGTCTTCTTCCTGCACATTTTGCCATCGCAGTCTGGCGTACAGCCCTAGCATTTCTTGCTGGATTCCCATCCAAATATTATCCAGATCTGATTCTTTTTCTTTCCCCTTCAGTTTATGAGAATGATTTCTTAAACTAATATCATGATCCTACTCAGAAGCCCTATTGTATAGGTACTTGTAGGGTTGCAATCTATGCCAACCCAGTAACACACAAGTTGGTTGGATACACAAACTGCAGTTTGGCTTAGGCTCTTTTTTCAGTTGTGATTTAAAGTGTCTGTTACTATTACCTAACCATTAATGGGGCCATATAAAGCCTATCCTCATTACTGTTATATGGGTGGATGATTCTGGAGGACCTACAAACCACTAGTGAAGAAACAGCTTTACTAACCCAACAGTGTTGGGTAAATTCAGTCACTCTGATTTCTAACAGTAGTTTGTGCTTTCCCCTCTGCTGCCATCCCAGTCAGTTGTGGATTAAAAATCCCATACCTTGCTTAGTGCAGTGCATGAATACAGAACTGCTGGATAAGGTGTTCCATTTAATCTGTAATTCTAAACTTTGCTCAGATGTGAGGTGAATATGCAGTAATCTCTGCTTTAGTAGGCCAAAAGAGAAAAAGTAAGAGAAAGAAGCTCAACATGCCCATTTACTACCACAGACACATGAATATTGCATCTCTAGACATTCACTCTCACTTCCTCCTTAGTACCGTAAAGGACTTCCTTCCTTCTGCCCTCTGGATCCCTGTCTCTGTCGTGGCTGCTGGGTGACAGCACTGGCTGCCTCCCGCAAGGGGTGGGCTCCCCTTAGGCAGTTCTCGCGTGCTGAGACAAGCCCCCCGTGATGCACGTCTGCTGACTGTCACTCAGCCCATTCCAAAGGGATAAAGCTGAGTGAAGAAAGGCAGACGAGTAGACTTCCTTTGCCCCACCCTGTCCATACCGCTCCTTCTTTTTGACTGGCTCCAGCTGGATAGCTGGAGAATTACCTGTATGTGAGGCACACAGCCAGCCCTTGCTTCGCACATCAAGAAGCTTTATCTTCTTATCATGGTTTACTAATCTCACAAGTGTCAAAGCTTAGTAAATACTAAACCACTAAATCATGGTTTGCTAGGCACACTGGTTTACCCAAGATGCTAAGCCACAAGCAAGAAAAACTACATTTCTGTTTAGCACCTTGGGTGAACTCAATCCCAGAAGACCTGCTCCTGTGACATTCTATGTCAACCCAAGGAGCTTAGATTAACTCTTTCTCCCTGGTATTTTTCTGGGGGAATCACTGCTATTTAAGGAATATTAAGAGCGCAGGTTGTTTTTGAGGGGCCGATCTAATTGAGTTGGGCAATTAATGCCCTTTATAGTTTGAAAAATGTTTTATGTTTTTAACTATACAGTATTTGAAATTAAATTGGAGATTTTGTTTTTTAGCCACCTGAAATGATCTTGGCTAGTGGAACAGTGGGATATAAATCCAGCAAAGAAATACACACTGTCCTTAACTTGGCTCATTGTCTCTAGCCAATAACAGTGTGTAATGGATTTCTTCTACCTCTTTTTAAAATTGTATCAACATGCTACAGAATCTGCATTCTTGCTTGAAAATTAACTCGTTTAACACACTGAGGATTATTTCTGAGTAAAGCATGCATTTGATTCTGCTGCAGGTGAATTCCAGAGAACCACTAAATGGAATGGAGGTAGCTATTGTATTGTAATGTGAGTTTTAAAACATTAGCATTCAGCCTAAATATGTAGGTCTACTCAGATGTAAATTCCATTTATTATTGTAGGTTTTACTCCCAGGAAAGTGTGCATAATAATGTAAGTATGCATTATTATGTTTTAATCTATCTTGTTTCACACATATAGGCAGTTCCTTAGTTCATATATTAGATTACATCATAATATTGTTTGAGCCCAGTGTGATATGTGAACCTAATTATTGTGGTTTATAAACCATGATTTCTGGTATAATACTATATGTGAACCAAGCAACTCTGGCTTGTTTAACACTAGGATTAAAACCATTATTGCTTTGCTGCATGAACATAGTGGTAAATACTATGATTCTATATCCATTTATTTGGAAGTGAACATTAATAAAACTTGAAGTAGCCATGGATAAGATTGTATTGCAAGGATGAAGAATTGTTCCTCCATGGATTTCTCTGTATTTATGGTAAGTACAGAATAGTATAAATCTGAACATTCGATTTTGTGTATATCCACATATCATAAAAAAGGGAAATCTATATTTTGACCATGTTACAACTTTCCTAATCAAATGAACAATAAAATGTTTGCCTACCCCCCTTCCCCAGCGGTGTATGTATTTTTACATGGGTGGATTTGTTTCTACTCCTCAAATGCCATTGCCTTTCCACTTTACAAAAGTGCAATGCAATCAATTAAAAGTGATGCCCTGCAGAACATGCTTTGAATCATGTTAAGCTGCTTTCAGGTATCAGTGTAGCTCACTAGGAGTAACCACTTGATCCTTAACTAAAGTCACTTCCATTTCAGTATTATCCTAAGTTAAGACACAATCCTTAAACTCAAGAGTAAGGTTTAATGAGTTACTGGGACTTACTTTGGAATAAAGGGTTGCACCATTACTGAAATAAACAAGGGAAAATTTGTCTGAATCCATTTACTTTCTATCATGTAGAATTGATTTATCACAAATATTCTATCTTTCTTATGAAACAGTTCCAGGTATCTGTACTGGATTATGATTCAGGCTATTGTTAGCGCTGTCACAAACTCCTGTTTTGCTGTTAGTATAGGACTGAGATTTAGATGTTTCTAACTCTAGAGCATGCTTTATAAATAAGGAGTATTAGTAAAGTGGGTATTAGTTATGTACAAGAACTCTGGAATAAAGAGCTGGAATGGCTTAGGCTCTTAATTATATACCCAAAACTTGAAACTGATCACTATATGAAGAATTATGGATTTATCAAGCATGGAGGGCAGCCCAGAAGATCAGTCTTCAGCGTGGGAAAGACAGTACAACCCCTCACTTGCAATCTTGGATTATAGAAAAGTGTTCATTTTTTGTTTATGAAAGGACTGTCCATCAATGTAAGGGAAAGACTGAAGATTATTATTTCCTGCGGACATGGTTTAATTATTTAAGAACTAGGCTGAATAATATTCTTGAACAGCAAATGTTGTTCTTTCTATAATAAAACAATTTAAAAACAATTAACAATTGGTTTTTTTCTGCTTGATCAGGAAGTGAAAACCTTCTCCAGATGTCATCTCTATTATGTTCTCCCTGTCTACACAGTAAGGTGTACACTTCACTTAAATAAAGAAGTGAAAGTTTTACTACTGACTTAAAACAAAGGGACTACAACTACACCTTGCTTTATGCCACTTTGGATAGTTTTACACTCATGTTGGAATTAATCTCATTGATTCTAAAAAAGGCATACCTCAAAACTGATCTGTGAGGCACTGTTAGCAAAGTACATAAGTAAAAGAGAAATTCTATATTCATTAGGATTTACATCCAAGACTGTAGGCAAAGAACATCGACTAAAGCAGTCACAACTCAGAAATAATGTTCAGCCTGTTAGCAAAGCCACAGATAGCCACAATTGCATCTCATGAAAAATTATATATTTTTATTTATATATGTTTTATTTTTAAGAACCACCTCCCTGCTCTCTGACTGTAAATACATACTAGAATAAACTCTGTAAAATATACAAAAATATATCTGTGTCTCTTCCCCCTTCCCTCATTTCTTACAAAAAAAGTTATTTCCTTTACAATAAATAAAAGCAAAAGTGTGTGGCTAATTACAGTTTATGCTCTCTTTGATGTTTTTCTGTCTGTATTTTTAGTCTATTGAAAGGATAAAGGCATTTCCCAGCCATCAGAGGTGGAGATAAATAATGCATAAGAGACTCTCCTCTTCAGGTTCAGCCCGGTCCATCCCATCCTACTTCACCCCACCCCATT